CATTATTATTATTATTGCGATTATTCGTGATAATGAAATATACAAATCATAATGTTGAAGATATCTAATAATGACAATAATAATAATAAGGAATAATAATAAAAACAGTGAAACTGATGAAAATGACAATCTCAAAATTAAAAAGGATGAAGCTGTGGCGCACCTTACCCATGCGGACCCACCATAGAAAAATGATCCAAGTTGTTTTTGTCTAAGCGTTCCCAAAGAATATCTCTCATCTCCTCGAAGGCAAGAACCAGTTGACTGGGTCACGACTTAAAACAAAAGTGTCGAAAATTCACCTTTCCGTAGGACTTTCGCCTCCATAGGAATATAATAAAATTACTAAAGAAGCAATGATAGAAAATTAAACGGTCAAACCGTTGAAAAGGTATCAATAAGCAAATTTAAGGGTGAGGGCCGTTTCGTATCAGTCCGCCGGTTGACTCTGAAATGAAGGGTTACCATGGTAGACAGTCTGTAAACTGTCAACCAAAGCCATGTTAATATGTGGCTAGCAGACTTGGCGGAAATCAATATCCATAGTCCAGAAATATTTTCAATCATAGGAGTATTGGAATATATAAGATAGAATTCGCCTCAATATCTGGGGAAATACGTATTAAAAGTCACGTTTGGCAAAAATCACTATATACAGAAACAGTATTATCTGAATAGACCAACATTACACATTGTAAGATAAAATACGGTAGCGAACAAGTTCGTTTGCGTTGATTTATTTACAGATTAATACATCACAATTTGTCAAAAGTGTTCAGGACAGTGGGGAGATAATAACAAATTGGGAAAAAAAGTAATCAACACTTCAGTTCCGGGACCGGATGTTGATCACACTTTATTCATCACACACACACACACACACACATTGGTTCGCGTCTTTGGGGGAAATGACTGTTTCGTGTTGATCATGAAACGCCGAGTCATCTTACAACTTGTGTTATAAGCATAGGAGGGGGAAGATTAGTTCAACTCACGTGATTAATGCAGCCGAGGCGCTTCGACTTCTCTACTTGGTTCGCAGTCCTCGGCCTAATGAGATTAGTAGTCGCATCATGGCCACAACGGAAACGATCGGAATCTGTTAACATAATACCCCCCCTCCCCCATCATCGTACAGCGAAATACAGGGAAGCGAACTTCACTGACCGCCGCCAAACTGTAATTCATGTTCATTGGGGTTTGATGAACGGGTACTACCAGGGTGTTCAGCCACTAAGCAGGAGAACGATTAGGGTTCTCGTCCAAAGCCTTTAGTTCTAACAAGAACCTAGCCGCAAGGCAGCGAGTGAAGCGAAATGGTAGCCCATTTACTTGGATCACTGACTCCTCTATCATTTTTTACCGACTGAAACGCAAATTCTAGTCGAACCCCCAACATGGAGGACCAGTAGACTGAACTTCGTCCAACCTTCCAGGCATGATAAGATCTCCTGGCTTGACAAAAGCCATCCTGTGTAGCTCGTGGGGTTAGAGAGGTGCACAAGCCATCACACCCCGTCAAGGTGGAACAGCCTATGTCGTAGAGGGGAGAATTATGACAGCCTAGAATTCAAACGCACGGTCTATAACAACGAACCGAAATGGGGATTCAACTCCAGAACGAACTCGATGCACCTTGTAGGCACAAATCTAATGTTCGAGATGTGAACAACAACAGGTCATGTCACCGGATGACGTCCTGTTCGGACAACCCCAAGTCCCCGTGGGCTGCCGTGATCAGCTGGTTAGATTGTTCGGTTGATCGGTCGGAGGTGACCTGTTCAAGTCCTCATAAAGAATCGGTCGGATCATTGTATATTCAGTTATTATTACTATTTCGACACGTAACCGACTACAGAAAAATGGCAAATGTGCCACATGTTACCAAAAAATGTAGAATGTATTCATTAGTTTTTGGCTAGAAAGCCTGACCAGGAAGACAACAAGACGGAGCTCAGAGTCCGCAGTCTATTAGAGGCCGGTGTCCGGCTCATCAGATCATACGCCTTTTGGACGAGGTCAAACGTCCAAGCTGCCCAATACAACTCGATGCCTAATCCAGCCGGTGGTCACTACCACGACCAGAATGGTGTGTGGTTCATACACCCCTTCTTGGTTGGTTTGGAATCAAGGTTTTTAGCCAACTCCCTTAGATGAACTGCCTATGGTCCACTAACCAATGCTATATCTATAACTGTTATCCTCCATCCGGAAAACGCCAAGTTCTCACATTCTTTCCAGGCTCCCTCCATCACCGGTTGTTATCGCCTCATCCGGAGGTGAGCTCGACAAACTGGCTGTTTTCCCCCGGCTCCCAGGTATTCACTGCTGCTTTAATACCCCGGATAAGACAGTCCAGCTCGCTGACAAATCAAGCGGATCATTTTCGTGGATGCAATATGCAATCTGGTTCAGTTGGCAGCAAAATCTTTGATTAGCCACGTCAAGTTCGTGAATTGCTTGTTTCAATAAACTGAAACCACCATCTCCCATAATAAATTTCATAAGAGAAGCCAATATAGTAATATTGCACGATTCATGCCATAGACGATTTCGCTGCATCTCAACTGGTGCCTAGTGCAAACAAATTTAATGTATATATAGGGTCTGGAAATGGATTACAAAATACGCACTTAAATAGGGGGAGGCGTCAACAAGGCAAAGCCAAGATGATGAACAAGCCTGTTTGTTGATACACAATTGGTTTCCATCGGTTGATTGCAATCGGCTCGCGATCTTGAGCATTCTGGTGTTGTTATTGACAAAATTCACTCGAAATGCTTTCTCGCGATCCACAAGGTGTTGTGTCATCAGCAAGTGCTTGGCAATCGATGAGCTTGGTGGTTTGTAAGCACGGTCCATTGGTGAATTAGATTAGTTACATCATCACCTCTGAATGGAAGAAAATTCGTGATCTACGATCTAGACGTTGACGCAACAATAGGCTTTCGATCTTCAATCTTCTTCTTCAAATTCCTCGAGATAACCATATTTTGTTAACGTGCTACGCAAACATCTGATCTCGTGTCGTCAGTGCAAATTTGACTGTACTGTCCTGTTTTATATTGTCTGTGATAATGAGAACTCCATCAACATATCTTCTGTATAACATTGCTTGTTTCAGTAAATTCTGAGCTTGAAATTCCAAGTGTGCGATGAATAAATTGGCATGGTAAAGCAACTGGACCGACAGAACACTGAGAAGAAATAGATGGCCTAGAACATCCTCAAAGGCCTCAATCCACTACATCCGAACATACCATTCAGCATGGAAACTGAACAGAACAATAGACTAGGTTTCCTTGATATAAATACCAACCGAAAGCTAGATTGAACCATGTCAAAATCGCTCTATCGTAAAATTACTTGGACAGATCAGTACAGTCAAATTTGCACTGACGACACGAGATCAGATGTTTGCGTAGCACGTTAGTGGTTGTGCAAACTGAAACTGAAACATTCCTCACATCGGATTGATCCTCTCTTAAGTGTATTATCTATTTGTGCAACGCAGGTGTGAATAGTCAGTGAGAGTTGCAGAGGATGCACTCAATCCTCCCCGGGACCCCCCTCCCCTAGTCGGACACAGACGAGCTATTATCTATCAGCATTTGTGCAATTAAAACACAAACTATATTCCCCGCATTTGGTGACTTTTGACACCCTCTACTCTCTCGCACACTCTCTATCTGTCTGGAACCTTCCTTGCACACATCCACCTTCAATCATGGGGCATGCTTAGTTTGGTATAATTTATCTGTGTATCCGAATGCTACATCCCGATAGAAATATGGCATTGCTCAGTAAGTAGACGCGGTAGCAATAATGACTGTGGCATTAACTAGTCATGACCAGTAGTTCAACCAATGTCTAACAAGCCACTGAACAAACAAATTGCAAACTTATCCAAACGGCTAAGGTTGGGACAGTTATTGACTGCACAGCAGTTTCGTTGGACATAGATGGTGTTCAATTCGAACGGAGCAACAAGACAGAAGGAAGTAATGTGTTCTGATTTGTTCATAGAAAATCGCAATATATACACAGTGATGGAGGGGGACCGTGTCACTGAAAAGCATCAGGTACAAGGTTGTTTAGTAAGGTTCGTCTTGGTCCAATCATTCATACTTTTCTTGTAGCACAACAGACTGCAAACCGGTTGTCCCGTAGCAGAACAGGTATAGCGACGAGCACGACCACAACCAAGGGCGCAGAACATTGTGCCGGTAATCTGTCGTGCGGTATCACGCTGTTCGACAAACAGATCCGTGGACAGAGAACCCGGACCGATACATATCCGATTGCTTGGTGTCAGTCGAGATGAGGAAAGCCAACGAATATAGCCCGGACGTGGATCCATTTGTGTCCCGTTCAGACCATGCTGTTCGGCCAGACTGAGACGGACGAGAAGCTCGGATGAATCCGCGCGTTTTGTTTCGTTCGCGTCAGGTTGTGAATTGCCATTGGATTCTCCCTCTCCGTCCTCGTTCTCTTCATCGTCCTCATTCTCATCCGATCCGGCTGGATCCATCGAGTTTAGCTGGGACGAGAAACCGGGACGTCCGAGAGGACCACGACCTCGACCGCGACTACGTTTTGGCAGTCCGACTGAGTTCGTATTAATCTGTGACAACGGGTCAAGAAGATTTAGAAGCGTCATGGTCCTAGCGGGCCCATATACTCTGTGTTTGAATCAACCGATATGGTATCAGATGAAACGAACACTGATCGGATGTGAACAACCTTGTTTAACCAATTTCGTCTTCAGCTACTCTGGCTTCAATTTCACCGAGATAGTAAATCTGATCGTGACTTGTATCACGCGATAATGACGTCCACTATGGACCAAAAACACAAAATTGTTCATGTTTGCTTTTTAACTCTGCTGATAGAAACATCCCATTGAGACTGTTACAGTAACGTACCTTCCCGCCATATCTTTTGAGTTGGATGCTTGAACGTTTAACTGACCGACGCCAGTTCACATATCTTATTGGTCTTCCACTGTCAACGTATTGCAGGGATAAATTTATCCCCTTTTACATCCAAAACTTATCGATCACCCCAACTGTTTTGACACTTAAATATGCCGATGGTTTCTGGTGCATCCAACAGCAATCCTTCAATCAGCCATAAGTTCAATTTCTGAATGGTTCTATGGTGTTCACCCTTCTTCAAAACCAAACAAATGTATTATTCGTAGGCCATCAAATTTTCCGGATCATCTGTTTCTAACAGCTTAAACGTTGAAAGGTAACAGAACTTCAATTACCTTGGATGTTTTGTCTGCTGATCTCATATGGTCTAACCATGTACAACAAACACTTCTTAAAGATAAAAATCTTACCTTTTACATTTCACACCGGTATTTGAGGGTGCCATTGTGTCATTTATAAATTTATTTTGTCGTGCAATTTATGCCATTGGACTTACTGCCCATCCGTTATCTTTCCCGATCTGTTGTCTAAGGATTTCAGTAGCCGATTCTGCGCTGTACGTCTCAACGGTTCAGTTCGAGTCAACAGATACAGAATGAAGCGTCGATGCTTATTCGTCGTATCGGCGTATGCACCGACCGACTGCAATATACCTGAAATCAAGGATGAATTCTACCAGGATCTCTCTCAGCTATTCCAAAAGGCTCAAACGACGGACGTCGTAGTAGTCGCCTGAGACTTCAATGCTCAAGTGAGATCCCTGGACGAATTAGAAAGGCTTCTTGGCGGACCACACGCAATCCCAGCCAACCGGACAGACAATGGCGATCGCCTGCTTCAACTCTCCATTGACCACGGGTAGTTCCTGTCAAACACGAACTTCTCGCACAAGAAACGCAATCGACTTACATCGAAAACGAAAACCTATTCATAGCACTGGATCCAAACCGACCACATCACTATCAGTTATCGCTGGAAGGGATCAATTCAAGACTGCCGCTCTCACTGGTCAACAGCTATGGACACAGACCACACCTTGTTACGAGCCAAGTTCTCCTTACGCCTGGCAAACAACCGTGAAAAAGGCACCGAAAACGGATATCCGCGATACAGTGTCAGTGATTCATGCAAACCGGCCTTCGAAGCGGAACCCTCCGAACACCCGTCAGTCCAACAGCCAGCCGAAGGACTCAATGAACACTGGAAGCAGATCAAGGAAGC